TCAAGTCATGTTGGTCGCTAGAGCTCTATTGGTTCTTGAATGCGAGCATTCAACTCTGAGAAAACGCCACAAAGCTCTAGGTTACCATATCGGGATTTTGTTGTCTCTGATTGAACATCATGTCCAGGAGAAACTCACTAAATTATTCTGGCTGCTTCGTAGTTACTCGGTACTTGGTACTCAGTAAGTACTCAAGCCTCATAAACTTGCGATACTTATGCTTCACGTGGGTTGGCCTTCGGCTTTGGCCGAATTTTGACGCCCAATGATTACAGTGAGCGCCAGGCGGCTGATTTAGATTGTTCTCTCTGCACTCCTTCCATCACGGATAACTGAGATCAACGCCTGCTGACCTCGCAACAGGCAGGATTGGAGATGACTTCAATAGAGCGATCTGTGCGCACATGGATCGCTTCAGGACGAGAAAATGAAATTGAAAGCGTCGTTAATGGTTCGTGCATCTGCCTTTTGAATACTGGGGGTATTTTGACATGATTCGTAGCTATATCTAATGGCGAGGCTACACTGCTGGACGTCGTGAAAGCTTTGGGAGAGTTCCTTACTGCGGAAGAGGACGATGTTCGTAATAAAGGTTTGTGGTTGGCTTAATTATTTGTATACGCGCTAATGACGGGACGCAGGGGTGGAACTACTGAGCCAAGTAGTAAATCAACTTCCCTCGGATAAATTAAACAGACAGGCTGGTGGGTTATCAGCGACTCAAGTGGTTGACTTACATTAATGTTACTCCCGTGGGTTAGTTAGGGTGTTGGTGACCTTTATGTGCGAAAAGCTAGACGACACGGAAACTATCATTCCGGCTTTGAAGGCACTGAAGGCATTAGTGTCGAAAGATGCTTTCACTTCTAGCGATGCCGTGGAGGTCGCGAATGCGTAAGGAAATATTATACATCGATTCGTGCTTGCTCAAACCAAAACTTGTAGCCTATTCCGACACGTGAAAATGAAGGTGTTAGTCCAAGCCCAGCGGTTTGTCGTATATGGGATCATCGACGGATTGGTTGCACGTCATAGAGATGGTATATACTCTTCATCAAGGAATGATCAACGCTAACCTTTCATCAGCACTCATTAACATGGGACCCGACTTCGTCTCTGGGTATATAAAACTCGCGGAAGGCGAAAAGGACCCTCGCAACCTACTACTAGCGTTCGCTATTGCACGCGTGTTGCTTATCGAGTTTGATACCGCAAAGTACATAGAGGTATGTGCCGACACTGATGTCATGGATTCGGTTTACATTATGTGCAGGATCTATTCAACATCACATTCTGTTACTTCCCAATAACGTTCCGTCCGCCACCAGATGATCCTTACGGTATTACTACTGAAGATCTCAAGGAAGCGTTGAGGTACTGAGAGTTACCTTGAGCAAATCATGCGGATTATATTAATTCTTTCTTTGGTTAGAGGGTGTCTAAACGCAACTCCAGCCTTTGGTCCTATGGCGATTCCGTTGTTCTTAGAAAAGATAACTGCCGGCTCCCCCGCTACTAAGGTAGTGCCTAAATTTACCATCTCTGCCGATGAAGGATTTATTATGAACCACAGAGGGACACCCTTCAAACTCTTGATATCTGTCTTCCGGTATGTGGTTCAAGCGTCGCCAAAGACCACGCCCGAAAGCTGTGGAACACATTCAGGCTAGAGGTAGCGATTACCAACAACTTCCACCCTTATTCGCGCGCGGACTCAAAATGTTCTAGATATTTCAACCAACAGATGTCGAGACAGAAAATATGGCGCTGAACACAACTCAGGTTCTTGTGCGCACCATCTATCAGACACACGGCACAGAAATTGTCCAAGACGAGGAGATTGAAGGCTTGGCTAAGGACGTTTGTGAAGAATGTTTAAAGATTCTTAAGGAGCCTGAGAAGAATCAAGCAAAGCACGCCATCAAGGTTATGTGCGCTTTTGTTTCTACAACCCGTACGTATCACTTGGTTAATAACTTTATTTATTGGCTGACTCGTTTGTAGCCTCTGTGGCGAAGTTCACACTGTCTCAGGCTGTACCTCATCTCGTGCAGCTTTTCCTCAACCCTGATGAGATCCAAAATCGTTCAGCCACACTCAAGCTCCTTGCTGATCTGATTGACGCAGTCCGAGAATCAGTCATAGTCACTACCGCTGACGAAGAGAAGAGTGCAGCTTTGTCACCGTACAAAGACGAAGTCCTCGGCGTGTTTACCGTCGGGCTCAAAACTGTGGCTTCGTGCGGTCATGCGCTGGAAGGTCTCAAAGCTATGGTCTTGACCCCTCATCTTCTCGTTGACGAGGAGCTGGGCTTTGTTGTACATAACATCAATGAAGTGCTCACTAACGAGGAGACTCAAAACGACGAAGACATTAGGTATGCTTGTCAATCATCCACCACTCTCTTGTCTGACACCCTATAGCGATTCCATCCTTGACCTGTTAACCACAGTTTCCTCTATCTCCTCTCGCCATGTCTCACAAACAACCTTGCCGCTACTGTTCTCATCTCTACCTGATCAAGCACCAGCACGAGACGCAGAAGCAGATCGCCTGAAGTACTGGCACACATTATCTTTCCTCAAACGACTTTGCCTGCAGTCTGACCTCTTCGAGATGCTGGTTATTCGTCTATCTACGAAACTTGACCTGATTTGTGTCCCAGCAAGCAGTACTATCGCAGACAGCGATCACGAACCTACTGCAGCTTATGCCCATTCGATACTCCGAACACTAGCTGATACTTTAGCGAGGAAAGTTGAGCTTGGGCATACGGATGTCTCAAAGTACAGCGATCGACTCGTCCCCCGGCTGTACAACCTTCACTTTTATTCAACCTTGGTGTCAAACGGAGATTACCTGGTCGCTACGGATCCTCGACTTATTTCAGTATCGGCTGAAATTGTAACATTGGTAATACAGACTGCGCTAGTAGGGTGAGTACAGATGGACAGAACACAGTTTCTGAGCTAATTGGTTATTCTAGGAAGCAAGAGACGTTCGTAAAAAACCTGTTTGGCGCGTACTTTGATGGGAAACCTGGAACCCTTGCGGAGGGGCAGCACAAGTTGCCGGGAGAGAAGCCGTTTGCTCCGTTCTCTGTTAGTCCGAACCATGTTTCTGCTGTATCTTCCCTCATCTTTCTTCTTCGTAGCCCGATGCCACAAGCCTTCAGAAGAATTTGGTCGTGCTCTTCTCTGCCGCCCTCGTACCTCTGCACAAAGAAGTAAGGCTGTGTATCGTTCTTGTATTCTGTAGTAATAACTGACATCAATAGGTGGCATTGCCGGTTCCTAATGAGAGTAAAGTTCTCGAGACACTGGTACATTGGACTATCCAATACGCAGATAACGTGCTCCAACGTGAAGCAGCCGAGCATTCAGTTGCCGCCATTCTTAACAAACGAGCTGATAGTGAGATTCCATTTTCCCCTTGCTTGATATTACTTTAACACGATATACAGGCGTAGCAGATTTCTTATCCAGCAAAGTCGACCTGTTCTGGGCTGACCAAGCTGAGAGAATTGACTTACCACTCGAACACCGTAGGAAGGCCATTTCTTTGTGGATATGGGTAAATATGAGGAGATTTCCAACGCTGAAATTACTTATGAAGTTTTGGTAGATCACCAAGGGTTTACTTGTGCGGGGGCATTCGCTAGCACAGAGGTTTGCCAACCGCCTTTTCGATCTGTTTGGTGATGCTTCAGTCAGCTGGGATGCTGCCCGGGCAATTGGGGAGATCGCTCGCCAGGATAAGATCCTTACCAAAAAGAACCATGCAGTAGTGAAGGTGAGATGGGACATAGAAGATGCGAATACCTCATCCTAACCGCCGATGTTCAGTTCCTTTTTGCACAACGCTTCGCGAACAGCATGTTGCCGAAAATTATAGATGGTGTTAAATCTTCTTCGGGTAGGCGGCCTGACTTCGATAGCTAAACGTTCGATTCACGGATGGTCGTCTAGATCCCAACAGACAAAACGCGTTCCTTGTAGCGTTAACATCCCTAATTAAGTCAATACCCAAATCAGCTTATATTCATGAAATGTTTTCTGTAACTAAGCATCTACAATCTTCCCCGCTATCTTACTAATCTAAGTTTGTCAGCTTCTTCCTCTTCTTCTACGCGGACTTGAACTCCCAGATCATAACATCCGAGCAAACGTTATAGATACGCTGTTGTCTGTTGCTGACCCGAGCTCGAAGCTACCCACCATCGCAGAACACGCGAACAGTCTGGTGTCGACTATGCTGAAGAATAGCATTGCTAAGAAGATGCCCTCTACAGTAGGCTCTTTTATCGCTTGTTGATGCATCCTTGGGTACTGAACATATGCCTGCATTCAGCGTGTCCGAATAGCTGCACTGCAGTATCTCGCAACATTACCAAGCATAGTTCGATATGATGTATTGCATCCACAGAGGGCACTGGTGTTGCGCGAGCTGGCTGGGGCTTTGGATGATCCCAAACGTGCGGTTCGGAAGGAGGCAGTTGAAGCGAGGTAAGCAGATATCTACGCTTAGTTTTTTTGTTCGATATAAATTCTTACACCTCCATTCATTGCGCTCCACAGAACGGTCTGGTGAGTTGGAATGTTCTTGTTCCAAGACGTCTGCTAATGGTGATATACAGGTTCAAATATACAGGATAGCTTTACTCGAAAGCACACCAAGCCCCCACTAGTTCTTCGTCGGACAAAGTAATACTGGTAATATTCACGGAAAAGATATGCAATGCATGTTTGTAGTACAGGCTACAATAAAAGAATGCAATGCTCCCTTACTATGCAAAATAGGCTTGACTGAATGATGGAAGTATAGTGTAGAGTAGTGATTATCACACTGTGAATATCTACTACGGATTGCTTAATCACGTTGAGGATGGGCGATTTTGATTCTCAATTGGACCTTATGACAAAGAAATTCCATGTTTTCAGAAATCTGAGCGGGCAAGAATGGAATTACTATACATATTATAATTCTGAGCTTTACTTTCGGTCCTTGTCGATTAGTGGTTAGATCATCACGTTGTGGCTTGTCTGCAATCCGTGAAGACCGAGGCTCGAATCCTCGCTGGGACACATTTTTGCTGATTTCACCAATCAATTGTTAGTTGAACGCCATGTGTGCCTGCACAAAGATCAGCCTCCCAGTTTGCAATTAGCTGCGAAGATCTAATTTTGCCATGGAGGAAAAGTCTGTTCTAATTTGGTGCCTAAATAGCGACGTCGACTCGTGAAAACAAGATTAATTATTCAAATAGAACCATGAAATTTATCGACCTCCTATTCTGACAACTTTTACGATCAGCTTGCGGCCGTGACCTCCTCTGTGCCCACTGTTCTCTAATTTCTCTTCGAGTGCCCCATAAAGCAATGGCTTAAAGGTCTGATGCGGTCTGATATAAGCCTAGATATACTCGCAAGCCATCGATGGTCGATGCCAATTTTCAAGCAATAATTGCGAGAGGAGACTGTGGGCTGATCAAGGGGGACTGGCCAAGTCGGCGGCCAACGTTCGAGCTGCGGCTAGATTGCTGCGGGTCACCCGTATGTCACACTATGTCACAGGAAATCAGGGCAGTTGACAGGCCAATTAATATAACCGTGACATCACGCGCAATCACCCCACCATTAATATTGCCCACACCGTCTGGCATCCACACCCACCCTCAACCTCTTTTCTTCTACGGTCATCGTACTCGACGTCGGCCATGGCAGTCAGCCCAGTCGACAGGGTAAAAGCAAGCAACCGATTTCGTTCCTCATCCGTCGGCAACCTACTTCTCGGCAGGCAGTCAGCTCCGCCCTCACCTACACTATCCTCATCGTCGTCCTCGTCCTCGAGCATCCGCAAGGTCAAAAGGCACCACAAACGGCCCTCAAGCCTTAAAGGTGTTCCTCGACCGACGGTCACATCGTTACACCCCGCACCAGAACCGCCGAGACTACACTCCGTACCCCGACACTCGCCCTTTGGGGCGCTACTCTCTCGCACCCTTCCAAGCTACACCGGCAAGTACGAGGTCGGTGTATGCGATCTCGAGATTCCTGTGTCTAGGAGGACATTTGGGACGTTCAAGTACAAACATACGCCGGACTCCGACACCGTTGGGATTGCAATGGACACTGTCCTGTGCTCGCTATTTTATCCATGTGAGCGTCAGGAAAAGCTGAGGGGTGTTGCTTGGTTCCCAAAGTGAGTCTTGCTCTCGTCGCGTTTGTTGTTCAGCTTTGCCGCTTTAGCTTCATTCCAACGACGACGCGTTGAGCCTCAGTCAAAGCTGCGCACGTCCTTACCGAATCCAGCTTACTCAGACAGTGCAACCTCTGTCACTCCGACTGACTAACAATGAGGTGAGTCTGGGGATCGCTATGACATGGGAGATCTGTTCGTGCCTGTTGCTCAATGTTTCTTACGTTTCCCCAATGCATGCAGGTAATATAGAGCATCCCCCAGGTGGATTGCATGCGGGAATCATGTCTCGCTAGTCTGCAGAAGTGGATGCAGCGTGCACGCGTTCAAGCTCACAAATGGTGTACCTATCACTATTTCCCAGAAAGGTCGCGTAACACGGCTCTCGAGGAATGAGGTCTACAAACGTCGTCATCTTCCTCCGCTATCTTTGTGCTCCACGCGTTATTTTTGTCTTCACTTGCGAAGATTGGTCGCTTTCTTTGTACTCGGACGCTGACCTCTTATCTTTTGATTTCTAGATTGACGCAAACTATTGATGGGTTTTTGAAGATGGCCAAGCGGACGCCGAATGTCTGGTACAGGATGGCAGCTTGTAAGTAGAGTCTGTGGTTTTTTGTATAGCGAAATTATTTGTTCACCGGCTCGGATAGACCCAGTGGCCGCTGCGGCAATATCTGGGACAACTTTCCCGGCGACAAAGGATGCCCCCCTCGCAAATCCACCAACCGAACTAGGCAAATGGCCTCTGTTACTTTTCAGCCACGGCGTCGGCTGCTCTCGTCTAATGTACTCTGCATTCTGCGGTGAGATGGCTAGTAGAGGATTCGTCGTAGCCTCACTAGAGCATCGAGACGGCACAAGCCCAAGTTCCACTATCGCCTCGCACGATGGAAGTACTACTGTCGTGGATTGGCTAGAATGGAGCGACCTATAGTACGCGTTTATGCTATGTATAATTCTAGTTCCATGCTAACAAGGGCTTTCAGTTGGCCCGATCTAGATGAACAACCGAACGACGACACAATACTTAGACATGCGCAAATAGAGCTCCGGAAGGCTGAGTTGGAAGCTGTAGTTGATGCTATACAAAAGCTAGCGTCTGGCGAGGAGCTCCAACGATACTCCATGTGTTCTCATGCCTTTAATTGGTCTCGATTCCAGATGGTGGATGCAACCCGGCCTATTATCACAGGACATTCACTTGGGGGAAGCGCAGCGGTGAATTTCTCGTATTATCGTCTGTGATTAAAAGGAGGCTAATAGCTCGTCTCAGCTCGCGTCCTCTTCAGAAGGTAATATAGATTATCGTGCTGTTGTTGTTTTTGACCCTGCCGTACAACGTAATGTATTCTACTCTTTATAATTCTAACAATTAACTGATTTGTCTACACAGGCCTCGAACCGTGGGGATCAGCAATTCCACACCCGCTTCTAGTTATCAACTCCGAAGAGTTTACTGTCGGCCGCGAGTACACGATCCTCGCTGAGCAAATCGCTCATACTGCTACCAAAGACATACAAGTGTATAGCATCGGTGGAGCTACACACCCTTCCTTCTCCGACGTCTTCCTCATCCTACCCGGCGCTATTAACAAGATGACAGGACTGAAATGCGCCTCGACGTCGGTGATCGAACGTGCCGTCCGAGCGACAGAAGAGTTTCTGGCTGGTCCGGATGGGCACAGCGGGAATGTGAAATACGATGAGGTGTACAAGGACGAAGAAGATAGAAAGAGGAAGATGCGGGAGAGAGGCGCGACGGCGAAGCACAAGAAGAGGAACTTGGCGGAGGGAGAGGAGAAGGGAGGAAAGATGTATAGACCCATTGGCAGGCCTGGGGAGTTGGCGTGGCACCGGCTTGAAGTCGGGAGTACCGCCAACGTGTCGAGTCCGGAGGTTATGAGTCCGTAGAATGGAGGATGGTATTTCGGATATGGACGTTTTTTTTTCATGGACTATACCTTATCCTCGACGAGCTCTTGGATGTTTTACACGTAGATGAGTCAGGACATGCTTATACCGCTGTTCACAATGTATCGCTATCTGGTTCCGTTGCTATCTCTCCAAGTTACGCGGAAAGGCTATATCAAACTCTACGCTATCGTGCAGAGCATGGTGAATAATCTTTAGTGAATTCGGAGTATGGGCCTGATCCAGTAAGACGAAACTTTGTGGCGTCGATAGTCTCTGGCACATGACAGAAGAGAAAGCAACCTATCGTATTAAGCAGCCTTATATCTGTACTCTCTGACTAAACCACACATTATAATTATCCAACTGTTCAGAACAAAAACTTGACATTTTGATAAAACTCCAACATTGGGTTCTCCCCACTCTTCAACTGCGTCTGCGCTAAATCCGCGTACGTCTCCATAAACTCTGCATGCGTGAACACACTCGACTTGCGTTCTCCCACTGGCAAACCACTAGAAGATGTAACTCCATCTACTGGTGTGCGTCTCGTTGTAGGGTGGTATGACGAGAAGAAGTTGGCTCCAGCTGTCAGAGGAGATATACTAGTCGAGAGGGGCGTCGTCCGGGGGTCATCTACACCTAGACTCGGATGTAGGTTTGGCTCTGTCAAGACATGTTCGTACATGTCACGTAGCCTCTCAAAGTCGGTGGGGAAGAATATGTCAAAGTAACCTTGTTTGACTAGGACAGTTTCGCAAGGGACTGTCGTCCCACGTACACGCGTTTGAACGACTGGTGCACAGACGCCTTCCACTGTGTCTGGGAGGGATGAGAAGTCGGAGAGGAGTAGTCGGTGTCGTGGGAAGCATTGGCGAAGGGTGCGGAGGAGAGTGAGAAGTCGGGTGGGAACGAATTCAGGGATTGAAAGGTTGGGTGCGAGAGGCAGAGAGGTATATAGTGAACGTAATGAGGGAGAGAGCTTGAGAAGCTTTGGGATTGGGGGTGGATGACCGAGCTGGCGACGTAGCGCAATGAAGGACGCGATCAGTGGGTCGGTGACGCGCGTATAGTACATTGAGAAATCTCCGTTGCCGTCGATTGTCACCAACCCTTGGTAGGGCTCCAGTGTTTTCAGGTCGTAACGAATCATATCGTGAGCGAAGTTATCCTGTATAAAGTGCAGATTTGTCGTATTTGAGTACAATGAAGAGTGGTGGGATGTACTTACTATGACTTCCATTGCCAAGAAGAAACATGGTGAAGGCTCTGGAGTGTCCCAGCGAAAAACGCTTTTATTTGTCACGGTGACATTAGGGTGGTCCTCTAGAAGCAGTTTTCTCTGCAGATCGGCCAGGCTTGCACTGATCTCAATAATATTGTAGCGTGTTCGCTCGTATACCTCTGGCCTCTCATCTCGAAGGTAATCGAGAATATTTCGTGCTAGGGTACCGTTACCTGCACCTATTTCGTAAATAACCAAATCTTCGTACGGAAAGTACTTGAGTAGGTACTCGGCGACGAGGCACTGAGCTAGAGCTCGACCATACCAAGGCTAAGCATGCTGTTAGCCTTCAGCAAGAAGTATTCCGATCGGTGTAGGGATAAGCTGCGGCACACCTTGAATAGTTCTGTAGGCGTATGCCATATCTGTCTACCAGGCCCTTCGTCCGTTAACTCGAACGACTCGTACCGACGGGCCACCTCATCTTGAAACTGAACTGCATTATGCATTTGGTTGAAATCAATGGGGTCGGTATAGGTGAAGATGGTGGCCTGCTTGGGGAAATAGCCATAGTGCGGGTTGTACAGCGAGTCCTCAATGAAGTCCCGAACGAGCATCTTCACCTCTGTCGGAGGCTCCTTGAAGCTTTCCAGCTCGTTCGCCGTGACCCTTCGATAATTGACATGGTTGGGATCTGGTAAGTCTGAGAACGAGAGGTTGTTGTAGTTTGTCTTCACTGGATTACTA